AAGCTCAGCAGGTCTGGCAGCATCTGTGAAGGAGAAAACAGAGTTAATGTTTTGGGTCCGGTGATCCTTCCTCAGAACTGAGGAAGGGTCACCGGACTCGAAACGTTAACTCTTTTCTCCTTCACGGATGCTGCCAGACCTGCTGAGCTTTTCCAGCAACTTTGTTTTTGTTATTGATTTATAGCATCCGCAGTTCTTTTGGTTCATATTAGAAGAAATACAAGTGACTTTCTTTTTGTGGGATGGAGCTGGATGTAGAGGTATTATTGTTAGACTAGTAATCCAGCAACCCAGGAAATGACCCAGGATCTGGGTTCAAATCCCAGCACAACACCATCCCTGTTAGGGCAGGAAACTAACCTTGTGGAGGTGATAGTACAATGGCTTACAGTCAGGGGCGAGTTGCCTGGGAGTCCTCAAGATTGGCATCAGGTCAAACGTGGGAAAGGAAACCTGCTGATTACCACAGACTGTCCTCCATCAGCTGATGAACTCATGCTCCTCCATGTTGAGCAACACTTAAAGGAAGCACTCAAAGGCACAGAATATGCTGTGGGAGAATGAGTTCAATCTCCTCCACCAAGAGTGGCTCGTCAGCACTGCAACTGATTGAGCTAGTTGGCTTCTAATTGCCATTGCTCTTAAACGGAATCTGCTGCAGGAGGTGACTTTGCCAACAGGAGGGAAAAGCATTCTTGATCTTATCTCATTACATTATCTTTGAGTGACCATAGCACAGTTCTTATGGATATGAAGTACGGTGATCATGTTGAAGATACTCTCCAATGTGTTGTGCTCAACGGGACAGATTTCGAACAGATCTAGCAACTAAAGACTGAACATCCATGAGGTGCCATTAAGAAAGTAGAACAATCATACTTGAACCCAATATGCAACCTTGTAGCTTGGCATATCTCACTGTGCCATTAACAAGTCAGGGGATCAACTCTGGTTCAATGGGGAGTGCAGGAGCGCATGCCAGGAAAATGTAAAAATCAGGTGTCAACCTGTTAAAGTTATTACTTGTACGCCAGTCAGCATAAGCAGCAAGGGACAGGCAGAGTTAAATGATTACACATCCAACAGATCCGATCTAAGCTTTTCAAACCCGCCACATGAATGTCCACCACCTGAATGTTGGTGGGCAATTAAACAACTTACCGGAGGAGAAGAATGCTCCACAAATATTCCACCATCCATAATGGATGAGCTCAGCACATCAGTGCAAAAGATGAGGCTGAAGCATTCAAAACAGTCTTCTGCTAAAAGTCCTGATTGGATGACCCATCTCAGCCTCTTCCAGCAATCCTCAGTATTACAAATACCAGAGTTCAGCCAATTCATTTCACTCCACGTGATATGAAGAAACAGCTGGAGGCACCGGACACTTCAAAGGCTATGGGTCCTGACAACATTCCAGCAACAGTACCTAAGACTTGTGCTCCAGAACTTGCAGCTACCCCAGCCACGCTTTTCCAGTGTAGTTTCAACACTGGCATCCAACCAACAGTTTGGCCAATTGCCTATCTATGTCCTGTACACACACAGCAGGACAAATCTAACCTGGCCAGTTGCCGCCCCATCAGATTACTCTTGATCACCAGTAAAGTGATGGAAGGTGTCATCAACAGTGCTATCAAAACAGCACCTGCTCAGCAATAATCTGCTCAGTGATGCCCAATTTGGGTTCCACCAGGGCCTCTCAGCTCCTGAATCTCACTACAGCCTTGGTTCAAATATGAACAAAAGGGCTGAATTCCTGATGGCCCTTGACATCAAGGCTGCATTCTTGTGGGTTGTGAATTTGTTGAATTTTTTGGTGTACTTCTGTTCTATCCTGTTGATACTGTCATTTAAGAATATTCAAGACTGAGATAGATTTTTGATTAGTAATGGGATACGTGTTATGGGGAAAAATCAGAAATTAGAGTTGAGGGTTAGCAGTGCACAGTCGATGGGCTGAATAGCCTACTTTTGCACCTAATGTCTAATGGACTTATTTGACCAAGTGTGGCATCAAGGAGCTCTAGCAAAGCTGGAGTCAGTGCATACGGAGGGGAAAGCTACATGCTGGTTAGAGTCATATGTCAGAAATGGATTGCCTGATTGCACAGTGTTCAGAACCATTCATAACTCCTCAGATGCTGAAACAATCTGTGTCCATATGAAGCAAGACCTATATGATATCTAGGCTTGGACTGAAAAGTGGGAAGTAACATTTGTGCCACAGACCTACCAGGTATGACCTGTTTTCACAAGAGAGAATCTAATCCTTGACATTCAGGGTATTACCATGACTGAATAACCCCACCAGCAATATAGGGGTTACCACTGACCAGAAACTGAACTGACCGTACAAATACAGTGGCTACAAGACCTGTCAAAGGCTTTTTTTAAAAATATTCATCCACAGGATGTGGGCATTACTGGCCAGGCAGCATTTATTGCCCATCTCCAATTGCCCAGAGGGCAGTTAAGAGGCAACTACATTGCTGTGGATTTGGAGTCAGCTGTAGGCCAGACTAGACGAGGACGGCAGATTTCCATCCCTGAAGAACATTAGTGAACCAGATAGATTTTTTCAACAATGGATTCATGATCATCATTAGACTCTTAATTCCACGCGTTTAAGCACTGAAACGAATAACTGTAAAGTTGAGGCAAGACATTTCCAGCATTGGAACTATAATGAAACATAAGTGATTAACATTTAAATGATTTTGTCAAAAGAAAACAGTTAGTGGCAGTGATGTCAGGTTGCCAACATTGGACCCCTATTTCACAACTAAGTTTGCAACTAACAATCCACCCAACCGGTTCCTCATGCCAGCTTTAATTCCTCACCAAGCCTTTACTTTCTTCCATGTCTCCATACCCCAGTAGAGGGGAGGTGATGGCCGAGTGGTATTATTGCTGGACTGTTAATCCAGAGGCCCAGAAAACAATCTGGGGACCCGGGTTGGAATCCCGATATGGCAAATGGTGGAATTTGAATTCAATGAAATACCTGGAATTAAAAATCTAATGATGATGATCATGAACCCATTGTCGATTGTTGGAAATACCCATCTGGTTCACTAATTTCCTTTAGGGAAAGAAACTGTCATCCTTTCCTGGTCTGGCCTACATGTGGTTGACTCTGAATTGTCCTCTGGGTAATGAGGGATAGGCAATAAATGCTGCCTAGTCAGCGATGCCCTCATCCCATTAATGAATAATGGGCAAAAAAATGGTTGTCTCCTGACAATCAACACTGATTTCATGGTCAGCTATTAGACTATTATTTCCAGATTTTTCAGTTGAATCCAAATTCCACCATCTGCCATGGCAGATTCAAACCTTGGCCCTTAGACCATTACCGGAGTCTCTGGATTAACAGTCAGCAGGTAACACACCTTCTGACCCCCTCAGAACAAAGTCTGTCCACCAATTATGAGGCACAAGTCAGGATTGTGATGGAATACTTCCCACTTGCCTGGATGAGTGCAGCTCCAACACTCAAGAAGCTTTACACCATCCAGGATAAAGCAGCCCGCTTGATTGACACCACATCCAGTAACATTCACTCCCTCAACCACCAATGCTAAGCAGAATCAGTGTGTACTGTCCACAAGATGCACTGTAGAAATTCATCAAGACTTAGATGGCAAACTCACAGCCACTTCCATCTAGAAAGACAACACTGTCTCCTGAAAGTTCCCCTCTAAGACACACTCACGTTCCAGACTTTGAAGGAAAGGTGATATATTTCTGTCTCACT